GCCCGGGCCGAGAGCCCAGGTGGTGCCACGGACCACAGAGTGCAGCCCAACTCTGCCCCGCAGGCTGTAAACGAGTGAGGTGCCTCCTGTGAGTTCCCCTCTGTCCCTGGCCTCCGGGATGAGGTCTCAGGTCAGCTCTACCCTCACAGGGAAGAACCTGTGCTTTAGCCTGCGAGCTGCCCCTTCCTAGCCTGACCACTGCACTCAGTTCCCTCTGTACTGGGGATGACTTGGGGTCACTATCTTTAATGCCCTTTGATCTGCTGGGGTTCAGTGCTGCGTCCCTCTGGGTGTGCCGGAGCTTTCAGGCCTCGGGGAACGGCCCCAGAGTGTTTTCGCCATGGTCCTGGCCCTGGCCTTGGCGTAGGCGTGACCTCCTCCTGCATGGACCCGTGTTTCTCTCTCCATTTCCCTTCTTCTGGAAACCCAAACCAGAGGGTATTAGGGTTAGGTAAAGGTGGCTAGGCAGACCCTGCTCCCAGGGCGCACAGGCTCCAGTGGGCCTCAGTGGGCCTCAGCGCCCGGGGCCTGGCCCTGGAAGACAGCAGGTGCTTGCTAAGAGATTCCTTAGGTGTCTGGTCTCTTATTAGAATAGTGATTACTTAGTTATAAGCTGAATGTCCCGTTCACAAACAAACTGAGATTCTGGAAATCCAAATAGTGACTTCTACTTCTGCCCTTTTCTTACCAGTTCTGATTAAATGGATCGATTATCCATCAGGTCGTTCCAATTTTACATGCACTTTCTTATTTCATACTCAGTGTCACTGTTTTTCAGAGGAATCTGCTTAGTTCAAAGGCTCCTGTGCACTCTCATGGTTTAAATCAACTGGACAGTAGGCGGGGACGTGTCCGGCCTAGGCGCTGGCCCTGGCTTTTCTGGGAGCCAGATGTTTACATTCCTGGGAGAGGAAGGAACAGAGATGCCTTTCCTTCTTTGTGCCTGTTGGTCTTCCAGCTCAGCTGTGGGTCGCGGTCCGCTGTGGCTGCCTGTGCCTCTGCAATCTCCTTGGTATGCAGACTCCCTGCGGCCCGGCCCGCGGGCCCTGCACCTGTCAGGGACGTTATGACTCCAGGGGCCTTTCCAAAGTTGCTACCAGGAATGCTTTTACTTTTATGGTTCCTAAGGGTAAAGTCCACACAAGAGGAAAAGTCCTGTCCAGTATCTGGGCATGCTAGTGACATTAACAGGAGCGCTCCTGCCCTTCCACCCGAGAGCGGGCTTGTGACCTTGGACATTGGCATCAGTCCTGGGCCACCCTCTGCCCTGCTGAGCAGGCATCCAGGGCTGTGTCAGACCAGCACTGGGACTGAGCTGTGCCTGTCCCTGCCTCCCACAGCGGAGGCGGGTGGGTGGAGGGAGCTGCCTCCTCTCCCTCCAGGGCACCTGAGGCGCTGTGCCTGTGGGGATGGTCCCACTCCCCTACGCCTCCTCCACAGAGCTTTCCTTCCTCACGCCGGCTCCCTGCTGGGCGTCCGCTGGGCTTCTTAGGGCTGACCCTCCTCGTCCTCGGTTTTGCTGGTCCTCTGCCCTCCTCCTCGGCTCTCAGAAGAAGATGGCCTTCTGTAGCTCTCTGATAGGCTTCCTGCATTGCCTCTGTCCTGAAATAGCGGCTCTGCAGCCCTCCCCCCTTCTTTTCTGTGTTTGAGAAATGGGAGCCTCTTCCTGTTACCCTGTCTGCTTGTCCTTAGTCCCATGACTCATCAGTCCGAGGCTTGTTGGAGGGATAAGACACCTCTTGGACTACTTTCGCCAGACAGGGGTGTGGTAGGAGCTTTTAGGACGGAGCGAGAGGGCAGAGTTCAGAAAGCCCCCAGGAGAGCTCCAGCAGCACCGCGGGACTCACTGACCAAGGGATCCCGATGCTGCCAGAGTCAGAAACCTGGGGAGCCAGAGGCAACAGACACGCGCTTGGACTGGAGGAAGAGGCTGCTGGTGCACCTGCTGCCCCAGAGGAAGGCCCCGCCAGATCTGCCAGCCCGCCCAGGCGCAAGCTTCCTGCGAGGCACCGGCCGCGCTGGCTCCTGCCCCAGGCCCTCAGCCTCGTTGCCCGTGGGGCACCGGAACCAGGGACAGGAGTCCACACCAAGGCAGTCGTCCCCACGGGCAGGGGGCTGCTCAACTGCTGGTTCACCACTGGCCCACATCCTAGACGAATCTGCAGTGTGTCTTCATCTTCCCATTTTACTGTTGACCCCCTGCGCGACCCAGGACATGATTGGCTTCCCACAAAGGCTGCACCCGGCTTGCCCTGCCTTTCAGTCCACGACATTCCCGTCTGTTTCCTCTTGGCTTCTCCTTCTGATAAGGTCACATTGCCATTTGCTGTGCATTTCTGGAAATACTGTCCCACGGTGAACATGATTCTTAACCACAGTGAGTTCAGCTTTGGTGCTAGGAAATGCCCATCAAAGGCTGAGGCTGGAGTGCAGACCCCGTATGCCCATCTTTAGAAGAACACTGACCAGGTCCAGGACTCGCGGCCCCATTGGAAGAACACTGACTGGGATCCAGGGCTCATGGCCCCATTAGAAGAACACTGACTGGGATCCAGGACTCATGGCCCCTTTAAAAGATGACTGACTTGCGCCCAGCCCCTGCATGGACCCATTAGTAGACTGACTGAGATCCAAGCCCTGCCTGGTCTCTTAGAAGTCTGACTGGGAGTTAGAACCTGAGTGGCCCCATTAGAAAACTGATCAGAACCCAGACTCTGTGTGGCCCCTTAGAGGACTGACTGGGATCCAGGCAATGTATGGACCCATTAGAAGTCTGACTGGGATCCAGGACCTGCATGGCCCCTTACATGTGTGACAGGGATCCAGGCTCTGCATGGCCCTTTAGAGGTCTGACTGGGATCCAGGCTCTGCATGGTCCTTTAGAAGTCTGACTGGGATCCAGGACCTGCGTGGCTCTTTAGAAGTCTGACTGGGATCCAGGCTTGTATGGTCCCTTAGAAGATTAACTGCGATCCAGGCTCTGCATAGGCCCTCAGAAGTCTGACTGGGATCCAAGCCCTGCATGGCCCTCTAGATGTCTGACAGGGATCCAGGCTCTGCATGGTCCCTAGAAGTCTGACTGGGATCCAGGCCCTGCATGGTCCTCTAGAAGTCTGACTGGGATCCAGGCTCTGCATGGTCCCTAGAAGTCTGACTGGGATCCAGGCTCTGCATGGTCCTTAGAAGTCTGACAGGGATCCAGGCTCTGCATGGTCCCTAGAAGTCTGACTGGGATCCAGGCCCTGCATGGTCCTCTAGAAGTCTGACTGGGATCCAGGCCCTGCATGGTCCTCTAGAAGTCTGACTGGGATCCAGGCTCTGCATGGTCCTTAGAAGTCTGACAGGGATCCAGGCTCTGCATGGTCCCTAGAAGTCTGACTGGGATCCAGGCCCTGCATGGTCCTCTAGAAGTCTGACAGGGATCCAGGCTCTGCGTGGTCCTTAGAAGTCTGACTGGGATCCAGGCTCTTCATGGTCGCTTAGAAGACTAACTGGGATCCAGGCTCTGCATGGTGCCTTAGAAGCCTGACTTACTCATTTGAAACCTTAGTGCTGCAGGTGTTGCTCTTGCTGGCCTCCCAGTGACGTCTGACTGTTGTGCTGGTGACGTCTGAGGAGCACACCTAGCAGAGGCAGTGGGTGAGAGACTGCTTGTTAAATCTCGTTGGTGTGAGGAGGTTCTGCCAGTGCCTGACGTAGAGAATCAGGAGAGCACAGGACGGGGCGGCAGAGGAAGCAGGCCCACACAGGAGGCCCTCTTTGGAGACCCCAGGGCTCTCTGAAAGCGTCTCCTCTCCCAACTTGCCGGTCCTGAGACTTGTCTGCTGACAGTGACGTGTGGAATCAGCATGACAGTTCAAGTCAGGCTCCTGGAGACCCAGTCAGCACCTTCTCTCTCTCCAGTTCTGGGAGAGGTGCAAAGGAATAGACAATAGCAGAAAAGGAGCTTTCCCATTCTGCCACAGAATCATTCACACGACTTAATGAGTGCACCCAAACCTTCTGATCTATTCTGTGAAGTTCAGATAATGTTGAATTTCCCAGAAGCATTAGATCTTGATTTTGTCTTGGTTGCCATAAAATAAATCTTTCCTGGCATCGATCAAAAAGTGATAAGCAATGAAATGCAGTGTTTGGTGGCTATCTCTTAGTGATGACTGAGTTGAGAGACACTGGACGGGAATGTGACCTTCTGCAGATAGCAGCTCCTCTCGGTCTGATGTGAGAGGTGTGGGATGTGGTCTCTAAGGGATGGTTTGAGGGGTTACAGGGTGAGCCCACCTACATGTGCCGTCAATTCACAGCTTGCAAAAGTTTGAATATGTTCATCCATAATACCGACTGAATGTTTTCCAAGTTTTAAAGACCATGTATACATGATTCTAGAATAGCAAGTGGAAGAAGAGGAACACAACAAAAGCGGCTAGTCTTTGGAGGAACCAGGCTGGGCCTTGTGGCCTCTCCAGCCTCCCTGCCTCCCAACTCTCGGCACCACCTGGCTGGTCTCACACTCCCCAAGTGCCCCAGCTCGCCTTGCTCAGGGGGCTGTGCTAGAGAATTCAGGCTGCTGACGCGGGTGGCTGACGCGGGTGGCAGGGCGCAGTGGTCTAGACACCTCACTGGCCCACTTTCTGCTTCTGTTGTATGATTGAGGCAGGTGCCCCGCGGCCTGTTTCTTGCTCTCCTCTGTGAACGAGGGCTGTGTGGCTGCCAGCGTAGCCCTGCTCTCCGGGGGTCTCCAGGGTGGGTGATATGGCACACAGCACAGAGGCGACTGGTGCTGGGGTGTCACTGGGGGGAAAGGAGAGCCAGTTTGTATTTTTTTTTCCTGGTTCTGGGGACTGAACCTGAGGCCAGCTCTCTACCCACTGAGCTATATCCCCAGACCCACAGGTGGCTGACAGGGCAGACCCATTTGCAGACGTGGCCTGTCTCCTGCGGGTGGTGGCGTGGTACCCACAGGCTGCATGGCTGTAACGATGCCTCCGTTTTCACTCCAGATTCGAAGCCAGAGCAAAGCCTCTGGGGCCGGGCTGTGTGAGGGGGATGAGGTGGTGTCCATCAATGGCAGTGCTTGTGCAGACCTGACCTACCCCGAGGTCATCCAGCTCATGGAGAGCATTACGGACTCCCTACAGATGCTCGTCAAAAGGTATGCCGGTGGGTTGGACTACGTGTTTTCTCCTGAAGCTGGATGGGGACAGTTGAAGCCCCTACTGCATACATGCCCTGGGACCGATGAAGGACTTGGGTGCTTTATGGGAGGCCAGCACAATGAAACAGAAAGACCAGTGTGCTTGAAAAATGGGAATTCTGTTCAACCGAGCTTTTTGATTTTATTTTATACTGCTTCCTTAGAAAGCTCAGTATATTGAACATAATTTAGTATTTCTTTCCAAGAAAATCTTTTCAGATTTTCTGATGGATCAGGATCACTCTGATTATGATTCCCAGATGAATTTAAAATGTTTACATTGAACCATTGGACTATAAAACATTTCAGAGAAAGAGGATACCTAAGAGAAGGGGGGAAGCAAGCAGAAAACCTAAAAACCACCAGATTTCTGCTTCTCAAGACCTCCAGTAAAATCAATATTTGGGTATGGTCCAAAGCAGATGATGAAAATAAAGATTTTTAGCTATCAGAGCAAGTCAGTTGTGAATATGGTGTCTCCAAATACCAGTATTCCTTAAAAATGTACAGTAAAAGTTTTAACCATCAAAATTAAAGAACATTGAGGCCAATCACAAAAACTGTCACATCAAATTTTATAGGGTACAATCACAGGACATTCTGTGCTGATTTTGCAATTGAAGCCATGATCATCATAAGGACTTCAGAAAGGACCCTGGCTTCCCCAGAACGGCCTCTGGGAGATGTCGGGGAACTCCTCACAGGATCCCAGAGCCCTCGAGGTTGTGCCTTGACTCTACACAACAATGGCATAGAGCACCCTCCTCTGCAGTCAATCAGTTCAGTGACATTTCTGTATATACAGGCTCATCACAGCCAAAATATGTGACAGTAAAGGAAATCTAGAATATTCTTAGGACCAGATTTGTATTTGCTCATCAAGCTCTGTGTCAAGGCCTTGGACAACATTTATTTATTAAACCTCGTTCACTTGTAGAAGGAACCCAGCAGGAATGTGACCAAGTGCTGCCCAAGCTTGCCACTACCATGTACAAATCTGGGACGTGCCCTGCGACTTCCATCTCTGTCCCTTATATTCAAAAAAAGGAACAACCTTTTTCACTCGGTTTCCCTTTGAATGTGCTTGCCCCTCCAGGGCCCAATCATCTGGGCCACACTGGTGGTCAGCCAGTCCACTCCTAATCCCTGTTCTGATTGTGATGGCCACTGCTGGGAAAGTCCTTGATGATTCAAAGCTGCTCCTGGGCACGTTTACTTCCAGAAATAGGCAGACTGCTACTTTTAATAACTGGAATTACTGTGATTATTATTTTTCTCTAAAGTATTTTTTAACTTTTTATAAAATACATACTTGGTGGAATAAAAAAGGAACTCACATTCAAATCAGCCCAGAGGTAGTCGCCATCATGGCCATGATCGCTACCACCATCACCACCATCACTCCTTCTGTGGTCTGAGCAGTGATTCCTACCTTAACCATTTCTCTCACTCTTGTCTGCCATCTGTCTCTAGCAGACAAGTGTTTGACTTTTTCTGTATGTTTGCCCAGAGGTGGCCAGATAAGACTAATTTTAAACACTCCTTTACCATTAAGTCTGTATTATCTTAAATTTCATTAAAATGATAGAATATTTTTAAATGAGTACCTATAACCATGTTGTATAAATTGTGAAATTGGATACCTATGTAGACTGAAGAGAAATAAGTCATTAAAATTTAACTTCTCTCTCCCTCCTTCAAACTTTTATGATTTTTCTTCATGTATATATATCTTGCTTCAGCTACCAAGAAAGGCTAACATTTATCGGCCCCTGGCCTGGTTCCAGACTCTCAGGCTGGAGGGAATGGAAACCACCTCCTCTCAGCTCCATAGCTGATTGCTAACATCATTCACAGTGACTCAACCTACTTCCATACCAGTCTTTCCTAAATTAAAACTCTCTGGCCCCCTCATATTCAGTTTGATAGAGTAAATTCACTATCTCCTGCATAAGGATATAATTTAATATTTTTTAAAGATTTTTTTTTAAATTCTATATCACCAGGGAACTTTTCAGATTTACTTACATAGAGAACGCTGCATTTTTGTTTTTGTTTTTTTTGTTGTTTTGGTCACATGCGAAGTTTGGAGTATGTGTTTCAAATGGGTGTGACATTGGGAAGTCACAGGCAGAATGCCAGGAGCCTCTTCAGCTGATGGCCCTGCACTGTCAGCCTGCATTTTGAGGGAGGCACAGAGGGGCAGGGACAGCTCCTGTGCTACTTGGAAAAACCTCCAAATGTAAGGAATGAAGGCATCATCAGCAGCTGCCCTGTGCCCTGTGAACCACACTTCTCTTCCAAAAGCAGTTAGAGTTTAGAGTTTCAGAAGGAGGCTGTGTTTGACTCCTGAACTGACATCCCTTCTTCTCACAGACCCAAATTTGCAAAACCAACTGGAAAAGGGTAAGGTCAAAACCTAAGGGCGGCAGAGAGCAGCTTGGGACTCTTAGCTAAGTGGAGGAGGAGGAGATCCTAAAAGGAAAGTGCTCAAGTGGAAGGGAATCCATCTCAGATTATAAATCCTGGCGACTCAAGGACGCTTGCTGTGCGTTCTCTTTACACAAGAGTCCTGGGCTGGGTCCACTGATGACCAAACACATATTCCTGAGCTTAGCAAACAGCTTCTCTGTCATTCCTTTCAAGAAAGCACAACTTCTAAAAGGGTTCCTTGCATCATCAGTCACTTAAGATTGGTCGGAAATTCTTGCTCCCGTTGAAATAAAAAAAAAAAAAACATGGTTGTTTGAGAATACCCACCCTATTTCAGATATAGGGCATTCATATAGCTATTACATATAGCTATATTTAAAAAAATCAAAAAATATATATAGCTTTTTTTTTTTTAAATAAAAGCCGAATTCAAGGAATTGGGGACGTATTTAGGTTTGAAAATATTTTGCAAGCATTTTTGTTGTGTTTTAAATGAAAGTTTATTTGGGAGCTCTTTGGTGATACGAACGTGTTGGTGGCTTCAGTTTTCCATTACGTTGCCGTTGACATTCAGGAGGAAGTGCTGGATCCTAATGGTGTACTGGACATCCCACTGTCCGGGCCAAACGCCCCGATCTAACTGTCGGTTATGTTTTTCTGTACACAGACCAACCAGTGGAGCAAGTGAGGCTTTGGTCTCTAAGCCCGAGAACAAAGCCCTTGAGCATCTCACACTCGAGGGGCACGTGGAAAGTACCTCCCTGCAGATTCCTCCGGCCACCTGGCCCCAGCGCAGAGAGCAGAATGGAGCTCCGGCAGCAGCAGACGGAGGGGCTGTTGCCCGCGGGCGCACGGTGGAGCTGCGGCTGAGCCTCCGTCCCTCGCAAGAGCCACCCTCCCTGCCCCCCACCACGGGCATCGGGGGAGGTCAGCAGCCCCAGGCTCAGTCCCCCGGCCCCTCCCATGTCTCCTCCGGGAGTCCCTTCCCAGATCCCATTCCCACCCGGGGGGACGAGCCGTGGCCTCAGACCCCGCCCCCCGGCCCCTCCCCTGTCCCGGCACCCGCCCCCTCGCCCACCCCGGGGGACGGGCAGTGGCCGCAGACCCCGCCCCCAGGGCTCCAAGCCGCGCGCCTGGACCGTGCCGCCCCGCAGCCCGCAGACGCTCCGCGCCCGGGACCCGACCGCAGCCGCCCGCACCGGCACCGCGCACGGCACGCGCGTAAGTCCCAGGCCTCCCGCCCCGCTGCGTGGGTAGCCCTGTCTCTCGGCGGCCTTCGGGTGCAGCCTGGGAAGGCCGGGAGAGCAGGCGAGAAACGGGACGCGGGCCTCTGAGTGGGGGGCGGGACCGCAGGCTGCGCCGAAACTTGGGTGTTTCCCGAACTTGTAAGCCCTGGGGGCGCAGGAGCCGTTTAGAAAGTGCGGTGTCAGCGAGCTGTCTGGGTTCGCTTCCGGAGGTTGTAACGTTTCACGTTAAGGTAGCGCCAGAATATTGGAAAACAGGTGGCCTCTTGAGTTTAGTGTCAAAGACGGCCCAGCGTGCTGCCGGGAGCTGCCTTTCAAACGCAGACTGCACTCCTGACTTAAAGGCTGACCTTCCTTCCGAAGAAATCGTCCTGCCGCGTGATGATGCTTGCAGAAGTGAGCTTGACAGACAAGGCCATGTGTCGCTCCAGCGGTTACACGATCCGGTCTTGTGCAAGGCTTCGCTGGGCTGTGCAGCGTGCCGCGCGCCTTCTAGACACAGCGCAGTCTCCAGGACGGAGCGGGCGTTGAGGGTCCCGGGCCCAAGCACACGACTCAAGGCAGTTAGGCGTTTGTCTTACCCAGGCCGTGAGGGATGAGGAGGAGCGAGGACGAGGGACAGGGCTGGAGTTAGGTGCTAGTATTTTCGTGCCCCCGCCCCCTTGTGTGTGTGTGTGTGTGTGTGTGTGTGTGTGTGTGTCCTTTACAATTTTTGGAATTTCAGATGAGGATACAAAGTGGCCAAGGCACTTGCTTGTGTGAATGTTCCACAACAGCAGTGAGCCTCTGCGGTCCGCAGTGCTGCTTTCCGCGCATATTTTTAGCATAACCATTTGTACTTCCTTGGCAAGTGCTGCCCGCTTCGCAAGGCCGCTGGGCCATCTTCACATTTATAGCATGTTAAATGGGCGCACTGAGACGGTGTCCACATACTTTGGCAGTGACGTTAGCAGCAACTGTGCAACTGTGAGTGTCAGTTTAATAATAAGTTGTATAACGTCGGTCAGGAAGGAACCGCAGTTGGTGATGACCGCGCTTCTAACTTCCCTCCATGAGAAATTTCTGCACTAGTGAATATGACTTTCTTATAAAATGACTTCCTGGGATCACATTTTATTTTTTAAAAATTAACCATTATATCTATTTCTCTTGTGACAAAAGAGCTAATTTTCAATCATAAAATACCCATTTTTCCCTGAAATTTCCATTTAACTATCTTGATAAATTAATGCTTGTGTATCATATCCATTATCTTTAAAGGCATGATTATGATTAACTGATGCAATAAATTAATTTGACACCATTCACTTTTACATTATAAAAGTGTAAATATGACTTTTTGTTACTTTATAACTATCAAGTTCTTGTTTTAAATGACTTAATTGCTGCACCAATTCTTATACCAGTTAAAACTCATAGTCTATAATTTTAAAATTTCCCCAAGATTTATTTTATACTACTGCAATTAAAGCAGTATATTTTATACTACTGCAATTAAAGCAGTATATTTCCAAAATAGCAAATTCTACAAATTTGGCTAGGTAACTTTGTAGCTAGAGTTTATTACATGTATTTACAGTGACCCAGTATCCTAATTTATAACTAATTATTCAGTATTCGGTCAGAATTTGGAATTTATATTAGTTCAGTAGCTGTCACTGAAAAGAGGGGTGGTTGTCAAAGTAAAAAAAAAAAAAAAAAAGAAAAGAAAATGAAAACCTAAATATCTAAATTCATTGTATTAAAACACTTAGGACAGGTTTTAAATGTTCTTAGGACACATCCTCTCCTTTTTAAGATACTTAAAAACAGTTTAAATTTACATTTTATCTTTTAAATATGGAAGTACAAAGTATATTTTGTTTTTCAGAAAATATTATATTCTGAATTATGTTCTTTTAAATTCTAATTGCATCCCAGTTGCTAACAATTTCTAGCCAGTGTTCTATTGCTAAAGTGTAAGGATGGGTGGAGAGCACAAATGTATGAAACATGTTCTACTCAGCACATATGAAATGCATTCCCGTGAACAAATGGAGCAGGCACTCTAGAGTTATATACATTCTGTGCCATTACATAAATATCCATTTTAAAAGAAACAAGGGGCTGGGGTGTAGCTCAGGGTGCTCAGCCTGTGTGTGCCCAGTGTGCATGAGGCACCAAAAAAGAGAGAAGAATGAGTTGGAGTCTTTCAAAGTACAGCTGCCCTTGGAGGAAGGTCTTGTGCCTTCGCCCCAGGGGCGTAGTTTTTGGGTTGCTGTGGTGTGTTCCTTGAGCTCCTGGGCTCAGAATGACCCTGTGACCCTTCTTCTTTTCCCTAGGGCTCAGGAGGAGTGAGAGTCTGTCAGAAAAACAGGTGAAAGAAGCCAAGTCCAAATGCAAGAGTATCGCTCTGCTGCTCACGGACGCCCCCAACCCCAGCTCCAAAGGGGTGCTGATGTTTAAGAAGCGCCGGCGCAGGGCCAGAAAGTACACCTTGGTCAGCTACGGTACTGGGGAGCTCGAGAGGGAGGCAGGCGAGGAGGAGGAGGAGGAGGAGGAGGAGGAGGAGGGCTTTAGGGAGCACACGTGTGAGCTTGCGTTCCTCCACACCAGTGAGTCGGAGGCGGACGAGGACTTGCTGTCTGACCCTGACCACAGCGGGCAGGCTGTGAGCTTCGACTGGGACTCTGGACTGGTGGACATTGAGAGGAAGCTGGGTAGAGGGCATAAAATGGAGATGTTGCCAGACACCACGGGCAAGGGAGCCCTTATGTTTGCCAAGAGGAGGGAGAGAATGGATCAGATCACAGCCCAGAAAGAAGAGGAGAGAGCCGGTGAGCTGGCAGGGAGAGAAGCCGAGGCTGCCCTCGCAGACGGCCTGAGAACCATGGCCTCCTACCAGAGCACAGAGGGGCAGTCTGTGAGGGTTCAGAGCTCAGTGAGCAGGAGCTACATCCAGCTGGGCCCGAGTCCCGGCCACGCGCCCCAGCAGAACGGCCTTAGTGGGGGCTGTGTGGCAGCAGAGGCCCAGAGGGTGATCCCAATGAACAGAACCGCCAAGCCCTTCCCCGGGTCTGCGAACCCACCAGCAGCCCCCTTCTCCCCCACCCGGAGCATGACAAGTCCCATCTCTGATTTCCCGGCACCTCCACCTTACTCTGCGGTCACTCCTCCACCAGACACTTTCTCCAGAGGGGTGTCAAGTCCTGTGGCTGGCCCGGCACAGCCCCCTCCCTGGCCTCAGCCTGCCCCGTGGACCCAGCCGGCCTTTTACGATTCCTCTGAGCGAATAGCTTCCCGGGATGAGAGGATCGCAGTGCCGGCAAAGAGAACAGGGATACTGCAGGAAGCCAAGAGGAGAAGCGCCACGAAGCCCATGTTCACCTTCAAGGAGCCCAAAGTAAACCCGAACCCCGAGCTCTTGTCCCTGCTTCAGAATGCAGAGGGCAAACGGGGCACTGGAGCTGGCGGTGACTCGGGGCCCGAGGAGGACTACCTCAGCCTGGGAGCAGAGGCCTGCAATTTCATGCAGAGCCCCTCTGCCAAACAGAAGACCCCCCCTCCTGTCGCCCCCAAGCCTGCGGTCAAGTCTTCCTCCCAGCCCGTCACTCCAGTTTCTCCAGTGTGGGCTCCGGGGGTGGCTCCCACCCTCCCTCCTGCCTTCCCCACGTCCAGCCCACCACAGGGCACTGTTGTCTCCTCCATCAAGGTAGCCCAGCCCTCCTATGCTCCTGCCCGGCCCACGAGTGCGCTGAACCTGGCCGGTCCCTTTAAAGGACCACCGGCAGCAGTGGCCAGTCAGAACTACACCCCGAAGCCAGCAGCACCCGCACCCCGGGGAGGTGCTGCTCATTCTGCTGCGGCAGGACCATCCACCGAGCTGCCCGGAATGAGTGGGAAGGGGGCCCAGCTCTTCGCCAAAAGGCAGTCGAGAATGGAGAAGTACGTGGTGGATTCTGACACCGTGCAGGCCCACGCCACCCGGGCACAGTCCCCCACGCCGTCCCTCCCAGCCAGCTGGAAGTACTCCTCCAATGTCCGCGCACCGCCTCCTGTGGCCTACAATCCCATCCACTCCCCCTCCTACCCACTGGCTGCTCTCAAGTCTCAGCCATCGGCCCCACAGGCTTCCAGAGTGGGCAAGAAGAAGGGCAAGAAGCCCCTCAATGCTCTGGACGTCATGAAGCACCAGCCGTATCAGCTCAACGCATCCTTGTTCACCTTCCAGCCTCCAGGTGCCAAGGATGGCCTCCCCCAGAAGCCGCCCATCAAAGCCAGCCCAGCCCCGGCTGTGAACCAAGCTCCACCTCCCGGGTCGGTCACCATGGGCTCACCCAGGGCCGCGCAGGCTCCCTCCGTGTGCTCCCTGCCAGCCTACGGCTCCCAGCCCTGTCACTTTGCAGAGCCCACCTCGCCAGCCAGCGCGTCCCCAGTGCCTGTGAGCGTCCCCGCCCCTCCCAGGCAGGAGTCAGCCTCCTCGTCTTATCTTGTGGCACCAAGGCCCAAGTTCTCTGCCAAGAAAAGCGGAGTTGCTGTGCAGGTGTGGAAACCATCTATCGTGGAAGAGTAGCCTTGTGGCCACCACCACTGTCCACTAGCTTGAAATGAGTTGTTTGCAGTGTTACTTGAGCCTTGAGCATGCCTAGCAGATCCTCCACTTGCTTAATTTCAGATATGTCACCTCCCAGTCTGGGTCCAAGGAGTCAAAAATCCAACTCAGATTAATTTAGGATATACTTCTTTGCACACTTTAAAAATCTGAATCCCCAAATAGATTATGTGCCAGTACTTGAAGTAAGCAGGATACTTAGGATTTATGCTTTAGCTACAAGAAAGACAGCGGTCAGCTCATCAAGGTCAGGACGCAGCCTTTGTGCTGGTGCAGAGGTGGAGGACACAAGCGCGTGTAAGCTGAGACTTCCCTTCTAAGTTGAGCTCAACCTCTTTTGCTAGGTCCCGGGAGTGAAGTCTGTCGAGGATGGGGTGGACTCCGGGCGGCCCCCTCAGACCCGACTTGGCATCTCAGAAGAGGTGCTGGGGCACGCAAGGCTGAGGGGTTGGGGAGGGGAGGTCTGAGAACTGTTGAGCACTCTTGGTGCAGAGTTCCCTGCTGGGTGTCTGTGCATGCAGTGGCCACTTCAGAAGACTGACCTAGAGTGACAAGGAGAGGGCAGAGAGGGAGACATCCCCAGATGGACTCCTCCCCTCCCAGTTGCTTAAGGGCCAGGCATGTCCATCTCCAATTGCCCATGAAGGCACAGGTGGTTTTCCTGGGCTGAGGCAGGTGGCAGACAGCAGGGCAGGAAGTAGCTCGAGGAGCAGGGGCAGGTGCCTGCAGAGCCACACAGTGGGGACCCAAGGGTCCCTGGCTTGAGCAGGGGGAGCTCCCCTGCAGGGTACTCAGGGTGGGCACCAGCGTGGCCACGCAGACCTCTGTGCCCTGGGGAGGGCTTTGCTGCTGCTCACAGCTGTCCTGGCACCTCCACTTTCCTCCTCTGTGACGGACCAGGGTTGTGCAGGCAAGGTTGCCTCATAAGTGTGGATGGCCACACCATGCCTTGTCCCCCTGGCCACCAGGTTCACAATGGCACTGAGAGTAGACCCAAGAGCGTTCCAGACCTGAGTGTGACCATCCACGGAAAGTATTCAAAAGAGGTGTGCAGACAGCTACACGCAGGTATGCAGATGGTAGGTGTGTAGAAAGGCCCCAGGAGAACGTCACTCTGTGTGGGGGGACGCTCAGAGACCTCTCGTAGAGACCTTCGTGGCTGGAGGGCACGCAGCACCACCCACCCTCTGAAAGCTCTCTGCTCCTGTCCTTTTCCTGTGGTCACTGTGCCTCACTGTTTTTCATTGTCCTATTAAAATATTACTGTCCTCTTTATCTGCTCATTGTACATACTTTTAGAAATCTGCCTTGTTGAGTTATTCTGACGTCACTTCTCAGATATTTCTTTCGTAGTGTCTGAACTTCCTTTGAGTGAGCCTCCATTTCTTCACAGATTGTAAGACTGCAAGCCTCAGCTGTTTCTACAACGTACATTAAGAGGAGAATTAAGCCAATGCCAACGATGGGACTGATTCTTCGGTTTTGTTTTTTTCTCTGTAAAACCTGCCATTGTGTTTGGTGGCAATACAACCACAGGAAGTGGGCCTAGGATTTGCCTTTTCATGAAATCAATCAGGAAGATGAATGTAGAATAGAGGGGAAAGCAATCTACCCCTTACATAACACAGCCCTTTCTGTTATGTGTCCCTGTTGGGTGCTGTGTATTTTGCATTGTTTTCTAATAGAACAACCCAAAGAGCCTTCGTAAGGTGTAGCAGGAAAGGAACTTATTCTCCTATCTGAGTGCTTACCTAGATCACTCTTATAACTGAGTGCTTACCTAGATCTTTCTAACTGCATACTTACCTAGATCACTCTTTTTAAAAACAAAATATTCACTTTTTAGTTGTAGTTGAACACAGTACCTTTTTAAAAAAAAAAAAAAAATTTAATGTGGTGCTGAGGATCAAACCCATATGCTAGGCAAGGGCTCTACTGCTGAACCACAACCCCAGCCCAAACTGAGTGCTTACCTAGCCTCTGAAGCATGGCAAAAGTTAGAGGAAATATGTGGACCACACTGACCGTCAATTTGAGATCGGTCAGAAGTGTCCCAGATGATCATCTTCCCAGTTGTCTAGAGCTGTGGTGCACAGGAATGAGAAGTGTTTGGGGCCCGTTTCCTGTTGGACAGGTGGCAGTCTGCAGAGCTACTGTTTGCAGTTGATGACTAAGGGCAGCTCACATGCCTGTGTGTTCTTGTCCTCTGGGGACAGGCTTCCCAGAAAGCACCCAGGAGTTTGCCGGCTCACAGCTGAAGCATCCAGTTTCCATCCTGGTAGTGGGGGGCTTATCTTGGATCAGACTTTATAGGAGAAAGGTGGAAATTCTGCAGGATGATGCACGCAGCAGAGTTTGACTTCTCTGGAGGACACAGGAGGGAGGGAGGGAGAGAGATTTCCTTTCCCTCTTCTCCCACTGGGCCTGTGTGGCCAGGTCCTAGAGGGCTGGAGGGCTGGACTCCAGCCGAGCTGCCCTTGGGGGCCACTCTGCAGCCTGCAGTCACTCTCTGTGGTGTGGAGGTTGGTTGATTGGTTGGTGGGGGCTGAGGTCTGGGAGGCATCTTCCTGGCTCTTGGTTAGCTTGGTGGTCAGGCAGAGTGCCCAGGCCTGGTTGTCAGCGCAGTAGCCGCACTCCTAAGAGGGTACTGCATCACATTAGAAGCTGTAGTGCCACCTCAAAGAACCCTCTGTGCAGGTGACAGGGCACTGGGATGTACGATGCCGATAGCGGGCGACTTACTGCAGGGCTTTGGGCAAAGGCTCTTCCTGCGGGCTTCCCTAGCAGGACCTGCGGCCTCTCCTCCAGGCGGGCGGGTTGTGCAGAAGGGGCAGGAGGCTGCGTGGACAGAGCTGCTGCCCGTCCTGTGAAGTGCATACGGCTGGTTGCAGGGCGAGGCTGGGAGTCTGAGCCAGGTTGCCACTTGGCCTCAGAACATTCAGTTCTGTTTCTCACATCTCCATAGTGGACCCACTGTGCGCTGGAAGCAGCATCTCTGCCCTTGGACCAGCCACTGACAGCGTGAAGCCCGCACCTAGAGCACTGTGGCCATTCCAGAGCCTGGAAAGGCACGCACATCAGAGATCTAGTAAGATGCTTAACGATCCCATGACCAACTCCCATTTTGCACCAACTCTCCACTTAATCCTCACTGGGAGCGGCCCATTTGATCCCAGCCGAGCTGTTCTGGTCCACGCCGACCACCTCCCCGGCAGTCCGATGCTCTAGAGCAAGACCCACATCTGCAGTGTCACTAACAGTGTCCCACACTTAAGCGGGTGGACGAATGTATGTGGGAGGCCTTTCCTGCTTGCCATGGCTGAGGGTCCTCCACCGCCAGTGGGCACATCACAGGTGCTGCCCACGTAGCTCTCAAAGGCAGAAGAGGAGAGTGTCTGCCCTGGGGGCTGATCGCAAAGGCCCTGCTGCCTGCAGCTCCTCAGTTGTACCCCCAGAGAACCTGCGAGCTCCCCTTCCAAGGGCGAGTTTCTGAATCGGCACCCAGTCACCACCAGCCCGTCAGAAGGGTCTGCGGTGGGGCATCAGGGAAGCGTGGACCGAGAGGCTACTGCTCCAATCCCTCTGAGGGAGGTGCGGCGCCCTGCCCCTACCCTCCCCCTGCCCTCCCAGAGCCAGGCGGTGGGCTTGCGCTAGGATGTGTTTGAAAGTTCATGAGAAAAGCATGTAAATGCCAAGAACCAACACTGCTTTCCCAGAAATAGTGACCTCACTGGGGTCCTGTCCCCATGTCACTGGACTCTGGGGGACACAGACTCCAGCAACACTTCAGAGCTGCCAGTGGAGTCGACAAGTGTTCTGGGAAAATGCAGAGCAGGGAATCTCCTCCCGACTCCCGGGTGGCCTGGGGTGCAGCAGCTGGTAGACCACACGGGGCCCACAGAGCAGGCAGAGGGCCATGCACTGACCCCTAAGCACCAGCCCCAGGAGCCTCGAATTAGAACCATCGTCTCCCAGTGCTATCTGGTAGTCAGTTTCTTAAATTTTAAGAACTTGTGTTTCTGTGGTGTGTGTATTTGTACACTGAAGTAGCATTTGGAAATTTTGGAACGACTCAGAGGCAATTGAAGGAAGAAGAATTTAATTAGGAGTCCCCACATCTGGCCTAAGATGCAGCTTGGTGGCCAAACACTTGCTTATCCATGTGAGACTCTGGGTCCCACCCAGCACATCAACAAATAAGCCCAGTCCTGTCAGGCATTTCTCAGGCTCCTGGCTTTATGGACGGCTCCCCCACCAGGAGGGTGCCCGTCCAGGGCAAGGCCGGAAGCTGCCCTTCCACAGCCTGTGGCTCAAGCCATCTTTTCCGTATGGATACATCCCATTTTTCAGATTTTCATTTTGTTGAAAGCTCCTCGTGCTTGTGTGGGTTCCTTGTCTTGAGGTGTTATCTGCAGTGTGTGCCCACGCATGGGGGTGCACATTCAGGGCAGCTGGCAGGGCCCTCGCAGCCCATTCCTCCCCTGGGTGCTGTGCAGAGTGATAGCTGGGTCGGGGCTGCCTGGGACAGCCTGCTTTCCCACTCTGCTGCGAGGTGGTTCATGGAAAACCTTCCTGCCCTGAAGCTGGCCCTGGGCTGGGAGGAAGGGCCACACGAGGACGAAGCTGTGCAGGGGCGCTGGTCTGGCACTTCCTTCAGGGGTCTCGGGTGTATTTAGCCGGGGAGTCACTGTTTCCAGGTCACGGTGCAAGTCAGGGTGCGCAGTGAGGGGAGCCTGGTGCCTTCAGATGCCCTGGGCCCCAGGCAAAGGTGGGAAGAGGGAGGGCCGCTCAAGTGCCCGCCTGGTGCCAGGAAGTGGGCCGATCACTGCCCATAGGCTGCAGTGATGGAGACCCCAGCCCAGCCAGCCTCAGGGCTGAGTGCCTTTCAGGAAGGACTCTCTTGACCAGGGGTCTTACGGGACAGGCCGTCC